GGCCGGTGGGCGACGCGCGCGCCCGCAGCTGCTCCGGCGACACCTTCACGCCCGCTTTCGCTAACAACCTGCAGATATACACTTGAATTAGTATAATCGGTCAATATTAACTAATAGTAATTTGCACATTCTCTTTACTAAGTGTTTATCTCTGTATATTAATTTACGTATTAAATATCCGGCACGAAGGACCATATTGGAACTTATAGTTAAAACTGATATGCGATCCATATGGCATTTTTTTATTATTCAATAGTTTAAATGTATGCTTACTGGCTGGCAAGTTCTGGATCGAAGCGCGTGGGCATCTGCAGCACTGGCAGGTCCTTGGTGGAGATGCCGCGGTGCTGCCGCGACATGTGCGAGTGCAGCGAGTTGCGCGACTTGGCCACTGTTCCGCACAGCACGCATCTGCCATTCATTACAATATTAGTATACAGAAACACCGTGTTACACAACCACAAGGTAATATAAGACCTGGTAGAGTCGTTTTGTATGTAATATTTAAAGAATACATTACCTGTAGCCAGGGCAGACGGTATGTTTGTCCTCTAGATGTGTGCGCAGCGTGTGGGCGGAGCGATAGATCTTGCCACATTTGGGGCATGGGCGTGGGTCCGTCGCACGCACGCGCAACAAGTCCTGAGTCCGTCTGCAGCCGCCTGTACGACAAAACTTGGAATTATAACCTAGAATTAGAAGACCTATTTAATACTAATTTCGAGTAGCTCTTACCTCAAAATGTGGTTTTGGAATGCAGTTTTAGTTTGGTTAATAAATGAATATTGAATGAGGTGTAATAATTAAAACCGATACAAATTCTACTTCGTAGTTTTATTGTTTATATAAGCAGACATATTTTTTTTTTGGGTAAAAATTAAATAATTACGTATATACCGTTATCACTAATACAAATCGCAACTAGAATCGTTTACTCACATTGAACATTTGGTTATTGAGATGCCTAAATTTACAAATGTTTTACACTTAAAAATATCCATATTAGTTATTAAGATATATGACTTTGCCTCTCAGGCCTCAGGAACAATTTTAATCTACTCGCTAGTTTTTTACCAATATTTTTTCGCCGTGGAGATCTATGGCAACACTTTCTATCGCATATATTTTTGAAAGGCATCTTCACGGTGACAGAATGAGACTTTCCCGCCACTTCAGTCTTTTGACATTTAGAACTTTCAACAACCCCTTTAAATAATCTGTAGAGGGCGCCATACAAATTATGGATTTCTTATTTGTGCTTAAATATGACTACGCGACACCTGTTTTTAATACAGCCTACAGTCAGGCATGACATTCTTTCATATTGAATATCTTTGCAGTACGTACCTACACAACTAAAAAAGTAAAAAAAAAGTTCTAAATTACTTAAATACTAATATTTGGAAGCGCTATTATTAGTACATTAATATAACCTTAGTTAAAATTCCCTTCAATCGAATAAAAAAATATATGCGATGGAAACCTGCTTTTTATATACAAGTTTTAAATATACCATCGGGTTTCTCCTACAATGACTAGATATGTGTTTACATTGTGCTCTTTTGTTTACAGGCTGTCACAAACCGACATTTACAAAAAATAATCACTCTATCAATGGAAGTAAATGTTGGCTTAACTATTTCATTAAAAGGCATTCCAGTTTTTTAATCTATCTCGTATTGTCTTATCTATGGTCGAAAAGGGCTAGTACAGACCAGGCGGCGGTATGATTGTCTTTTAGGAACTGTTTGTTTTCGAGTCTAAATCTACCTTGTATATTTTTAATTTTCTGTAGCGTACGAATATAGTTGTGTGTAGAGAAGTAACATAGCACATGAATTCAAATAAAGAAAGCAAATGCGTATAAGATTAGGAAGCTTTACTCACTAAAGTCGTTATGTCTTAAATTATTTTGTCACTGAATAAAAAAATAATATCAATATTTTATGTTATTGCATACCGCCCCTGACTTGAAATACTAAAGAGATCAGTAAATGCCTCATGTATAAATAATAAATATCCGTTTATTGTGCATGTGTCGAGGGCATTTTTCGAGTTAAATAAAATTCTGAACAAGAACGTATACAAGTTGTTGAAGCAACAATGGAAGTTACAGACGCATTCAGGAAATAGTGGAATGGTCACACCTTTAGTTGCCTACCGTAACCTACCAATGGCACCAGTCATCACAAGTCATAATGCGCTTAACAAACTAGAGCTAAAATACACTGAAACAACTGCCGACTCGCGATTACAATATCACGTATCTATATATGTTTTAATGTATTCATCATTTCACGTAAGTTTTATAAAAATATATATTTTCTAAAATTACTAACACTTTTTATTTTGGTAGGAGCGTTACATGCAGGAATGTCCAGTCGCCGGCGCGCCGCGCGGCCGCAAGTGTCTCCGTCGAGCGACGCGCCGCCGGCCGCACGCGACACTTTACAAACTTTTAAAAACTGGTCTATTGTCATTAAAGCCGCCAAACTGCCACAGTGTATTCATCGCCGTACTTAAACGATATCAGTCTATACTACTACAAAAATAATTTTCAGTCGATTTATCCTACCGCCCTATATATCAACCTGCAAACAGTATTACAGAACGTGCGCGGGGAGATCATGATACATGTGACGTCAGCGGGAGGGAGCCGGTCAAGAGAGGGGGGCT